AACTGGGCCTGATTTAAAATGGGAAGGGTAAAATTTAGACGGCTCTTTTAAATTTGTTGTTGGTAGTGAATTGTTTTCTGTTGATATTGGGGAGAGATTGGTCTGATTGAAATTTCTACTCATAAATTATATTTTAAGAGTTGCCTTTCTCACATATTTGTTTATATCTATAAAAGCCTGGAAGGGTAAAATGTAAGACCTTGAAGCAGAAATCTGGGCGGGATGTTAAATCGTTTTGGGAAAAATTAAAAATGACTTGATTTCCTTCAGTTTTATTTGTTATGGTCTTTCTCTTTTGTATTATTCTTACACTTCTCCTTCCTTTAACATTAAACTTATTTTCCGTCGTCCTGGCGATATAGGTGGTATGGATACTGATTGGGGGTTGTCCTTATTTCTAAAAAAAAATGATCATCCTGATCAGAATTAATGGACAGCATTTGGTATCTGTTGTGATTTAAACTGATGGGGTGGATTAGTATGGTATTTCTGAGCATATCTTGTCTATGGGGTCTTGGTATTTCTCTTAAAGTGTCTCTCATATTCTAAATGTATGTTAGTGCAGTTTATTTCATTTTTATATGATATGCATGATTAAGGCTCTGCTGAGCCGAAACGTTGCACTTTCTATGGGTTGGTTCACCTAGCAATAAATAGATCATCCTTACTATTGGAGTGTTGCCTGCGTTTATTCCTTTTGTGTCTGTGTGTCTGTCAGTAAGTGTTTGTGTCTGTCAGCGAGCATGTGTGTCTATGTGTGTGTTTCTCTGTTAGTGAGCATGGGTGTGTGTCTCTGTGTGTGTGTGTGTCTGTCTGTCAGTGGATGTTTGTCTGTCAGTGAGTGTGTCTGTCAGTATGCATGTGTTTGAGTGTGTGTGTCTGTTAGTGTCTATAAGTGTTTGTCAGTGAGTGTGTCTGTCAGTGAATGTGTCTCTCAATGAGTGTTTGAGTGTGTCTGTCAGTGGATGTGTGTGTCTGTTGGTGAATGTGTGTGTATCTGTCGGTGTGTATCTGTGACTGACTGACTGAATGTGTGTGTGTGTGTGTGTGTGTATTTAAGTATGTCTGTGAGTGCCTAGGGCAGCACAAAACCAGGATACATCACTGCATATACATATATATATGTATAACATATTCTGCAGCATGTGTTACAATACAAAAAATAAAGCCTGCAGTTTTTTTAATTTTTATAGATATCCTACTTTGCTGCCATACATGCTTTACTAAGACATTTTAAATGTTTAGTTCTTTATTTATTGTTGGTGCAATTGATATGACATTTTATTGAATTTGATAAAAATGATGTTGAAATCAATTATGAACTAACCATATAACCATACCTCTTTATTTCACAAAGGAAAGTACAGAACATATTAATGGAGAGAGCAAAATATTCACACGTATGGTATCTGACCTAGAAAGGCAAGATCTTCAACACTAAATATGTCTAATGAGATACCATCTCTGCCTTTCTCACTTTCGCTCTCCCTCCCCCATACATTGTAATCAAGTTCGCTTTATGCCAAGCGCAACCGGTTCTTATCTCAATGTGCTTCTGCTGATACCAGAGATATTATATCTACTGCTATTACAACACTTACAAGTCCATCTAGTGGTAGTTACACAGATTCAATTCTGTATGATATTTATTGGGATCCCTTGCTGGTCATCTGAAGTCCAACTACTGTCCATAATGTCATCTGGAATATTTGTGAGGAAAAATTAAGAAATTAAATATGAGTTAAAGGAGGCATATGTGTCATACTCATATTTTCTTCCTCAAAATAGTGAGAGGTTTGGTTGTAGTCAATGAACATGGAGTATGTTCTACCAAGGAGAGATTAAAAATCAGGGAGGGCTCTGAACAAACCACAGGGCTTCTTTCTAAGCTGCCTGATTTTACCCAGGAAACTGCATGTGTTATATATGTGTAGATGCAGGGGGCATGAATGACATCTTCTATAATATACTGATCATCAACAAACTAGGGAAATTGGAGACACCACCTTTGTAGAGATAATTGAGCCCAGAAACCAAGTATACCTCCATGAGACAGAACCAGTTCATTGGGCTAGAGTTTTTTCTTTCTCAAATGCCATTACTTACCAATTTTGCTCAAAGAATGGCTTGAGTCTTAGTCTACTTTATTCATCATTGGCACATCCAGAACCTCAATGAGCAACCCTATTGTTTTGCAGACTACAGCTGTAGTTAGTGATTACTGTCTTTGCAGCTTTTTATATCGAGTTGCCATATATGGCATTTTTACTACTCATTAATCCTAGCAAGAGACACTTCTTACTGTGTTCAATAAGACATTGTTAAAGGAAGACTCCAAGCACCATAACATCTAAATAATGCTATGTAGTAAAACTGTTTGCTAACATTTTGACCTCTTACCTGGGGTCTACTAGGGTTCTATTGAAAGTTGGGCTTAGTTCAGCAAAAGTGTATAAGTGACTAAAGCACATTGCCAATTAGGGTGACATCTTCGACATGATCTTGGTGGCAGGAGAGACCTTCTGCCATGAAAACTGTCAGATAAGGATGGCCTAGGATAAAAATCTAGGTCACTGCATGAGTATTGGGCCACTCAAAGAACAAATTAGCAAGATTGTCATAGGTCATAGTCAAGAGGCACAAAGAATTGTGAATATATTTTATTTATTAATGCACTTTAACTAAAAAGGATAGAGTGTAACAGATGGTCATGGATAAGAATACAAACTTTACAAATCCTAAAAAGAAGATAATAAATCACTGAAACATAAGTATTGCAATCCATTCTCATAATGAGCAACTGCAAAGCAACTCTTCACAAAAACTTTATACAAATGAAGCAGTGATTAATTAATTTGTTGGAATGTTCGTAACAAAAATCTGGCAGATTTTCTGCAGGTGTGCAGAAGCCCTTGTGATAGATGGTCTTTGAGCTCCCAGTGGGCCTCTGTGAGCTGTAGGTATGTGCTGTTGTCTAGTGTTGGTTTATGCTTGTGTTGAGGTCTGCTATTCGGTTCGTCAGAGTGGTTATGTGTTGTGTCCTGTTTTTTTTGTGGTGAGTGCAAATGGTGATGTAATCCTTGGATCACGCACTTGTGGGCCTCCCAATGTGTCAGAGGGGACATGTCAGGTGAGTCGTTAGTGTTGAAGTATTGGGTGAGAGTTTGGGCTGCTGTGGTATTGGCTTCCAGGTCGTTTAGTATGCTCTCGTTAAGCTTCCAGTGTCTTTGGGTTTTTGGGTTTAAACAATGGCGATCTAGCTCCAACCATTACTGGGGCGTTGTCTAATTGGCCGATGATCCCTATGACTGCGCTTTGGAGTAAAGTGAGGAATTCTTGTGGCATGAATATGTAGTCTATTTGGATATATTGCCTGTCGATGGCTGAGTAGTAGGTGAAGTCCCGATCGTTGTGGTGTGCCGCCCCCTCCAGCAATCCACCATCCCTAGTCTACCCAGTGATATGAGGGATGCCCGAATATAGTGTAATGGGACCATACTGGCTCCACGCTTGGAGTCAAGTTGTTTGTCTAAGGGCATGTTTAGGTCTCCCGCTACCATCAACAAGCCCTCTCTTAATAGTATTGCTACTCCTGCTCTTTTCACGTCGGGATGGTTGGCATAGAATCCCAAAGGGAATTGGTTATTCTCTAGTTTGGGTGTGTTCAGGCCTTTGAAATGTGTCTCCTGCAGGAAAACTATGGATGCCCTGGCTGTCCACAGCGTTCCCAGCAGGTGGGAGCGTTTATCCGGGACTTTCCCCTGACGTTGTTGGACCAGTACTTAAGTTGGGCCGGGCAGTAGCTCGCCATAGTGATCAAGGAGGGGCAGAGAGAGCAAGAGATGCAGAGAGAGGGGGCGAGTATTAGCTGGGGGGGGTGGTAGTGGGTTGTTATGTGGGTTGTTGTTATCAGAGCAACGTCGATCCTAGATCGGGGTAAGTCGTTCAGAGACGAGGCTATGACGCCTACCTCTATAAACCCTGGTCTTATGTACAGTGTAGATCTGTTGCTGTGAGGTCAGGGAAGGCCACCTATGGTGGTAGTTTTGTCATGTGGGAAGTGTGTCAGTGTTTCTGTCTCCGCTGGCGCCCACCCGTGGGTGCTGCATCAGAGGTGGGGTGCTTGTGTTCGTCAGGGGATGCCGCGGGGGTTGTACCAGACCATGATCGGCCGTATGGACGTGCCCTCAGCCAGTTCCAGTCTGCACACGTGTGCACCCTGCTCACCCACCCATGTCCCCAGGTGCAGGCTGCGTGTGTCGCAGTCTCCACTTTTGAACGGTGTCTTTACTGTAAGAGGCATGTTTGACCCTACCCTTATTGGCTAGGTCATAGGGTAGCGTCATGGGCCCGGACATGTCATCTAGTCTTCCCCTTATGCCCAATGTTGTCCCAAGGGGAACCTGGCATTATGAAGTAACAGAACGTCAACCATTGCAAACTATGTACAAATTAAAATTCCCCTTCCTCCTGGCCCCCCAGGCAGGTGCTAGATTAATGTGCTGAGTCCTGCGGGCATCTGGAAATATCTACCCCCACTTGCAGCAAGAAGTAAACAAACAAATGTGGTACGGGCCTGTCAACAGGGCCTAACTGGAACTGAGCACCCCGGGTCAGCAATATTCATACCACCAGTTTGTGGATTCAGTCCTGAGTGTCAGTGGTTAAGTGTGTGGTAGTCCCTCATACTTTCCTGTGATGCTGTACTCCACCCCAAAGCTGTTGTACTTGCAGTCCACCCCAACCTTGTGTGAGGGTGCGTCCCCTGTTTTGAGGTATCCCCTATGGACCCACCCAATCTGGGGAACCCCATGAGTCATCCCCAGTCCACGCCAAGGGGCGAGGGTGGAGGGGCCTCAGTACATAACCCGGCTTGCAGTCCTGTGTATTCGAGCTCAACTGCAGGCAGCTGGTCGATTGCTGGGTTCACTAGCTAATGTGAGGTTGAGTCTGGGAGAGGGTGATAGTTTCCGTCTGTGTAGGCCTTATGTAGCCACGCTCTAGTCTTCTGGGTCGTTCAGACCTCCCTGGCGTTGCTGTGGCCCTGTTGCAGGTTCGCCCGTGATGTTATGTGCTGCATCTGTGGGTACAATGGTGCGGGCTGGAGGGTTGTCAAAGATCCAGTTTGGGATCGCCACATTCGGTAGGCCTGCTGCCCACGGAAAGCAGGGGATGTTGATAGGCCAGCGTATTATCTGCCAGTAGTTATCCACTTTGATCTGCAAGCTTAACGGGAAGCCCCATTTGTATAGCACCCTCTTTTCTTGTAGTAAACGGGTGAGTGGTCTAAGAGCTCGCCGTGCATCCAGGGTGAGAGTTGACAGGTCCTGGAACAGGGAGACCTGAGTGTCCATGAACAAGATAGTGTGTTGTGCTCTGGCTACCCTCATCGGAGACTCCCTTAGTTGGAAAGAGAGTAGGCAGCATAGGATGTCTCTAGGGCCCTGTGAGCTCTTTGAATGACGAAGTCAGGTGGGGCATTCAAAGAGTGTCAGGACTGATGAGTAAACAGGCCTAGCAGTTGAGTAAACAGGCCTATCAGAAGCTCATGTGGTGCTTCCCCCTCATATTGTTCAGGCGGCTTCTGTTATTGAGGTCTTCTACTTGGCGTCGGAGGTCAAGGATGATGTAGTCCTTGGATCACGCACTTGTGGGCCTCCCAATGTGTCAGAGGGGACATGTCAGGTGAGTTGTTAGTGTTGAAGTATTGGGTGAGAGTTTGGGCTGCTGTGGTGTTGGCTTCTAGGTCGTTTAGTATGCTCTCGTTAAGCTTCCAGTGTCTTTGGGTTTTTGGGTTTAAGGATGATATTGCGTTGCCTTTCGCGGCGAGGTCGGAGGCCTGCTGCTGTTGTGCGGCCTGTAGTCTGTCCGCTTCTAGATCATCAACTCTCTGCTCGATTGCTGAAAGGTCTCTCTGGAAGTCTGTGATTTCCTCGTGGATAATTGATCGGAGTTA